ATCAACTAATGAAATTTTGATTATATTATTCATATGGTTAGTGATTGCAATTCGTTCATTAGAAACAGAATTTTCACATGGTAAATAGTATTCTACAACAGCTAATTCTCGATAAGAATCTCTTGATATTTGCCCTTAATCAACTGCTTTTACTATAGATTAAATTTGAAAATTTTTTTTTATTTGATCTTCATATTTGAAATTCACTTGAAAGTCTGTTTTATTAACAGAAAATTCAATTGCTTTTAATTTAACTTCATCAGATTGGTAATAAATTCCTTTAATATTACTACTAAAACTAGATTGCATTTTTGTTGTAATTTTTTTAGCGCGTTTTTCAAGTGTTGACAAATACAATTATCAGCTGGTTTGATTAAATTTCCTCTTCTTTTCAATTTGCATGCTTTCTGCACACTTTCTAATTGTAACCCAAATACAAGAGGACCTGAAAGTGTAGTTTTAGTTCTTGGTTTTAAAGTCTAAGGGAAAAAAATACATTAATAAATTAAACAATTATGGTTAATACAACATTACAGCATTAATTTTAAATACTTACTCTTTCATAAATTAATACTGCGTTAGATGGAGATTTAGTTGAAGAAATAATATACTGAAAGTTTGGACTATATCTAATACAAAACTGAGGTATTTCATCAATATAATCAATTTCATAGCAAACTGTTTGTTTGCTAGCAACCCGTTCCTAAGTTGTTTCTATAACATAACCATATAGAATTTTGTACTGTTTACTTTGCCTTTTCTTTCTAATATTGCTAGTATCTTGCAAAGTTTCAGTTCGTTCTTTTTGTTTATTACTTGGCCTAATAACAATTTTGTCAGGATAAATACCCTTTTTTATAATAACATAACTAAAACTACGTTTGGTTTTTTGATTTATGTGTTCCCAGTATAAAATATTATTATTCAAAGGATATGTGGAAGTTTCTTTAATTTGAACACCATACTCTACGTTTTCTGTATCACTATCCATACTTTTTGCATTAAATGTTAAAACTTAAAAAATTCATTTCAAAAATGAATACATAAAATGTACTTATTTTTATTGGTCAAATTTCATGTGACTTTATTTATACTACACCCTCTGAATTTTCTCCATTCTGCAGATCAGTGGATATAATCTAAATTTTTATTATTTTATTTACGTCATGCTCTTTTTTTATTATTATTATTATTTATTAACACAAAAAATCTCCTAAAGGAAATTATTTACATACAGTCATGTGAACTAATATGACATAAGATTCATAACCTAAAATAAAATCTTCTGTGTATATATAGAAGACGTTTAAAAAAATGTCGTTCAACTGGAAAAATCTGAAAAAAAAATACAACTGAAAACCGCACGTTTTCAGTTTTCAGTTAGATGACGTTTTCCGGATAACTCTGGCCATTACCATTCATTTTTTTTTGAACGTCTCTTTTCAACGATACATGTGTATGATTTCGTATTTAGCAATGTTTTCAAAAAAAAATTCAAAGTATCAAAATTTCAACCACACTTATATACGCTTTTAAGAAAAACAACTCCCGAATTGTATCTTATAAAATTTTGTTTTTTTTCTTTCTTATTTATCATACAAAATTTTACATTTTTAATATACGGTCATGCACTTTTACTTTATAAGATGTTGAATTATTTTTTACACTTCATTTCATTTTTTTTTTATGCATATATGGTTCAGTTTATTATTTTCTATCAAACAAGGTCTTCATGGTAAATGACTGATTGTTATCACTTGATCATTTTTTGCAAAATTGTTACTTCCCTTTAATTTGTCCTTTAGTGAAAAATATTAAAAGTAGCTATCACGTATAAGTCGATCCTATGGTTAAAATAAGTTTTATCTTTTATCTTTTTAATTTCGCTAAATAAAATAATGAAAATCATAAATTAAAAGCTCTTATTACATAATGTACATGTGACTTAATAAAACTTAGAAAATTAGAAAACATAGATATATAATTCATGAATTACACTGATTCATTATAAATATTTTTTTTAAGAGTAAAGGTTTGGAATAAATAAATCATTATCGTTTAAATGATATATTCTCCTTGCTGATCATCAAAAGGATGTTGTTGCATAAGAATATCATTATGTATGGAAATGGCTTTTATACAATTATTGTGGAATTGGTTTTACATTAAATTCTGGGAGTTGATTCGACTCTTCAGATTTATCACCATTTCATAATTTTCAGAATCATAAAATTCTGGAAATTCACGTATGTACGTTATGTAGTATCGATATGATCATTTTGAGACACGAAGTTGCTTTGAGCTTGTAAATGCAGATTCGAAGAGTTATTTATCGATTCATTGTACTTGAGCACTATTCATTTGTTAAGAATGATCAACACAATCATTTGAAGAGATGTTAATGCCTTGAGTTTGTAAATGCATAGTCGATGAGCTATTTTTCGTTTTTCGTGGCAAGTGATCATCATTTTTAGGACGATATTGGTATGTTTAGGTTCAGCTTATAAACATAGCCTGGATTTTTTTAGCGTGTGCATCTTTAATTTTTGTAGCCAAGACTTTAAAAAATGGTATATTTTTGTTCTTCCTTTAATTCTTCCTATATTATCTTACTAAACTTTTTACTGAGAGGCATTTTCTTACATTTTCACTTGATGATCTTTACATATTTTTTTGATGACCGGGTCTAAATGTTTATTAAGCGTGTTTGTATATAAAATATTTGAATTAGAAGGTCGTTTGATCATGCCATTGTGATTCTTTCCTGATTTTTCTGAATATTTTCTAACATATTTCTATATCATTATTATAGATTACGTCTTTAAAAGATTATCTATGTCAGTTTTATATTTTTCCCATCTAAGGGTGCTCAAGGCATTAAATTACCCATGCAATTTTAAATGTTGACAAAAATATTTTCGCTCCAGGCCAAGCGTACGTCGCTATGAGTAGACTCTACTCAAAGAAACAGTTAGATATCCCTTTTATTCGATTGTAACTGTCTCAAGATCAATAAAGATGTCATGACTGATCTAGTTAAATCTCATATTCCAAAATGGCTTAAAAACAAATCATTAATGGTCGACTCAAAAAATTTTCATTTAAACTGTGTCACGTAGTTTTATTTGAAAATCACAATGAATTTTAGAAAGGCGTTTGTTTTTTCATTTGAGTACTCTAAATAGATTACCAGAAAAACTCTTCTCAATATGATAAGCAGATTCTACTCAAAAAGTCTCAAGAAGGAAAATCTCATTATCTTGAATTGTGATCTAAAATCAGGAAGAATAGTTTGTTGATCAAACATTGAAATTTCGCAAGATTGAGATTTATGACATATAAATATATACGCATTTTCTTTTTTTTTTCCACACACACCACACATACAACTAATCCATTATGAGAATTGGTGCAAGTGGAAGGCCTATGGAACTTTCTCAATAATAGGTTCTACTAATATTGAATCTAGTAAAAACATCTACTTCAAATAATAGTATTGGCCAGTAAAATAGTAAAATGGTCTAATGATGCATAAAAAATCACGGAAAAAATCAGTATATTTATTATGAAAATTCGAGAATTTTATATCGACAACTTATAGACTCACTTACTACAATAACTGGGTTTTGTGATGTTAGATTATTATTTATTGATGATTATTATGCAACGTTAAGTTTGATACGACTTATGAAAAGTTAGATGTGACATCACAATATAATCAACAATATTTATATGAGAAAAATTCTCGATTATTAAAAAAAAACGTGTATTAATTTATTGCTATTTTTTTTATCTGAACTAAAACAAAAATAACCATAAAAACTATCGCTTATATTTCTCTTCCTGAGGAAAATGTATTAAATAAATATACAACAAAAGAACTTGTCTCTTTTTTAAGTAATTTAAATGCAAAGCTAGATATTGACTTCAATATTTTTCACATTAAAAAATCGACGGTGAAGCGTTTCTTTTAATGAAAAGAGAAGATTTTGAAGAGTGTGGGTTTGAATTCAGACTAGCTTTGAACCTCATAAAATTAGTTAGGGATATAAAAGATAAAAATCTAGATAAGCCTTTAATTAAACATCAAGGTAAGCCTTTACGTTGTAATAATTGATCAACCCGAAATCATTATTTTTCTGACTTTTTTTTGTAACTTTTGATTGACTTATACAGGGAAACGGTCACTTTCACCCTCTGCTAAATTAATTGATTCCAAGAAGAAAAGAATAATAGGTAAGTTTTAACAAAGGATGCGCAGAATGATTGTCAAATTCTGAGTCACATCGTTCTTTTCAATTCTAATCATTTTAGGGAATTCAGAAAAGAATTTCAAAAAAATCATAACATTTGCGAACACTGATATTAAAGTGGATTTAGATAAAGAAGTAATCATTCTTTCTCCACTTCCAAGAACTGAAAGTGAAACTCGTATTTATAAGCATTGTTGTTATGAATATTTTAAGAATTTCATCCTTCAAAACAAAAAATATAAGCACTACTGTATCACTGGGAACCCAAGAACTGGAAAAACTTTTTTTAGACATTTAATTATGTGTGTTTTGCTAAAGGAAGGTTTTGAATTGTTGATAGATGACAACAAATTTAAGCATCCATACCTGATTACTCGTAATAAGAAGGATGTTTTTGATGTGAAATGGGTTCAACCAGAGCATTATGCTGATGTTACAAAAAGAGAAAAAGTATGGTGTATCATTGATGGTAAATCACCAAGGGTAAATCATGACTTTGAAACTGGAAAATTTATTATGGTTTCATCATCAAGAAATTTACACATCAAAAATTTTTGCAAACCAGTGAATATTGCAATCAAATTATATATGTAAATTTGGACAGAAAATGATTTGAAAAGATGTCGATCTTTGATCTATCCTCATGAATTTTATGAACTATGTAGTGGTATTCCAAGAATCATCTTCAAATTCACGTTAGATGAGATAGATAAAATGATTGCAGCTTCTATTAAAAAAGTCGATACCAACATACTCAGATTTATTAGAATACTCAACGAAGGAGTTATAACCTTATACATATTCACACCAATAATGAGAAAATGAATGTCAGCGGCATCAGTGAGCTCACCTTCATCAGTCACCCTTATACTTTTTGTGAGTTAAAATTCGCTTCAACAATTATTGGTGATAAAGTTTTCGTAAAACTAAAAGCATATTACAAGGAGGAAACATACAAGTTTGTTTTTGCATCATCATCTGTACCATTATTAGGTTCTATATGTGGTTATATATTTGAGATAATGAACTCAGTACTAGTAAATCATTTTCAACACACTCACTAGAACAATATAAAAATCCCTAAAGAGAAAAACTGAGACTCCTTCAACTAACAATAAAAAATTGTTACACAATAGATGACATTGAAGATAATAAATATTGTAAACCAGTAGTTAAAAACTTTGAGACAATTGATGCCATCTATATTGGAAAAAAATACGATATGACATTTCAAATGACAGTAGGAAAATCACACGACATAAAACAACATGGATATGATTTAAGCTAGGTGGTGAATTGGCGAATCATGAAATACGACATTATTTTGTTCTTCTAAAGGACACATATAATAATTTTCAGAAACAACAATTCACAGTGAAGAAGGAAAAAAATGGTCAAGCTAAAGATGTAGTGAATATTAGATCATGGATCAAAAAAAGAGTAACACAGTATGCATTACTTTTAGATGTCAGTATCAAGAGCACAAATTAGGAATTATCAGTAGATGAAATTAGTAAAAAAATCATTTTTAATATTTTATATAAATAAACATATATTGCACGTACGTTTTTTATTATATCGGAAATATATTTTCTTCTAATTTGTTAAATTTTTGCTATAAATAACAATAATTAAATTTAATATTTAATAAAAGAAACAAAAGAGTTTATTATAAAGAATTTTTAATATTCATTAATCAGAATTGAATTTAAAAAAAAAATTCTTAAAAAATTTAATTTTTGAAATGTTAAAAGTATTTTATAATATTATTATTATTTTATAAATTTTTTATTAAAATTTAATATAAAAACAATTTTATATCAAAAATATTTTTTTAAAAAAAAAAAATAATTTTTACTTTTATATATGTAAGCAAAAAAATCTTTATTTTCAAAAATCTTAACCATTTTTTTTTGATACTATAAAAATTTATTTATATAAATATAAAAGAATAAATCTAATTACTATATTTCTTTAAAATTAGAAAAAATAAAATAAAATTTTAAGGATTTTATTAATATTATAAAGATATAAATAAAATTAAAATTAATGATGAGTAAAAAAACATTTATTATATTATTTTTGTAAAATAAGAATATTATATATTTTCTTAAAATTCTAATTAAATTAAAATATTATTTCATTTTAATCTAATAATAATATCAAAAATTAAAATGCAAGAAATAATTAAGATTTATTAAAAAATTCTTAGATCTTATTTTTTTTTAACAATATTTTTATATATATATATTTTTAATAATAATATATTAATAATCTTTAATTATATAGAAAGATTTCTAAGAAAATCAGATTTTAAAAATTTTCGACTACTAAAATTAAAAATTTAATCTAAAAATTTTATAAATTATAATGTCATAAAAATTTTAATTTTATTAAAAATTTCTAGAATTTGATTATTTTAACAATTAACTATATATGAGAAAATTACAAAAAAGATTTTTTTGAATTAATGTTAAATTTGAATTTATTTTACAAAAAATTAATATTTAATTTATAAAATAAAAAATTTCCTAGAAAGTGTTCATACTTTTATAAAAATTAAATATTTAGTATATTAAAATTAGCAAATATAAAAATCTAAATACTAAATTAATAAAAATAATTTTAATAAGAAAAATTAACTATTTAAATTAAAAATGATGCTGTAACTAGTTGCAACTTTATAATGCCTATTTATTATTAAATATAATTAGTTATCATTCAATTTTTATTAATGCAACTAGTTATAATTTTATAATAAATTATTTATCACTAATTGCAACTAATCACAATATCATTTTTAATTAAAATAATTTATATTATAAAATTAATTATCCAAATAACTAAATTAATTATTTAATAATTTTTTTTAATTTTAAAAAATACTTATAAATCTCTTTTATATTATTTTATTTATTCTTTTTTTAATTATAATAATTATTAATTAAATATTCTTTAATTATGAAAAATTTTTTTTAGAAAATATTACAATTTATAATAATATAAAAGATAAATATATAATATTCATAATAATTTATTAAATAAACTTTTTTTAAGTTTTATATATATTATATAATTTTTATAGAATTTTAGTATAATATATATTTTTTCTTTAACAAAAGTTAAATTTAATATGAAAAAATAAGAAAATATATATTTAAAAAATATGTATAAAATATATATTTATAAAAATTTAACAAATAGAAAATTATATGTAAAACATATAATTTATAATAATTTAATTAAGAGTTTTTATAAGTTTAAAAAATTTTAAATAAAAAAATAATATAAATTATAACTACTTTTTTGACTTTATTTTAAGTTTATTTAAATTGATTATTCACTAATATTTCTTTTTAAATACTTAAAAAACCTTTTTAATAAATCCCTTTAAACTAAAATAAAATAAAATATAACTATTGTTAAAACTTTACTTTTATTTTATTTATACTTTTATATTAAATAATAACCCTTTAGCATTAAACTAATTAAGTTTAATTTCTAAATAAAAGAAAAGTTAAAAAATGACAAACAACTTTTTTTAAGTTTTTAACTAAAATATTTACTTAACTTTAAGTTACAATTACTACCTATAATAGGTAAATCCAAAATACTAAGTTTTAAAATGCTCATCAAACTTCACATTTATGTTAAAATGTCTGTTAATTCAGATTATAACTAACTTTTATAATAAATGAAACCCAAAATATACAATTGTAAGTTTAAAAAATATTATGTGAGATTTTAAAATTTTCAATATTAGAGATTATATATATAAAAGAGTATTACTATTTAAAAAAAAGAAGAAGATCATTACATAAGATTTATTAATCTAAAGTAAATTATCAATTCTAATTGCTAGTTTAGATCAGTATTCAATAATGATTTAATTTTTTGATTATTTAAAGGATTTGTCTAATTCTTTGTCATTATCTTAAATTATTTAATATTTATTATTTCATAAAATGATAAATGACAAATGCTAATATTATTTTAGATTATTAAAATTTTTCTTTCTTTTTATTATTTAAGAGTTTTAATTATACAATTTTATAAGTTTTAATATACAATTAGCTTTTGATATAGTGAAATTACCATTTTAAATATCAAATTTATTATAATCTTACAATGAAAAATTAAAGAATTTGAAGAATTTGATTGGTAACTTTAGGATTTTTGATGTATTTTATTATTTAGATATCATTTGATAGATAAAAGTTCAATTATATTACAAATTCATTATAAAGTAAGGCTTTTTTTACTTTAAATTGCAATATTTTTATGATTTCATTATTTTTTAAAACTATAGTAATATTTAATTCTTCTTTAAAGTTAAATTCTTTTGTAAATATAATAAGATAGATTACTTCGAGCTGTTAGTGATTAATTACAGTTAGCTTTTCATAAATACATTCTCTATAAATACACTCCCTTCATAAATATACCCTTTTGCTTAGTCTCAAGTTAAGATTTAATGCTAATTGTACTTCCTTCATATTCTAATAGTATGATAATTTTTTAAGTCTATTTATATAAAACTTTTTTCTATAAATGCATCCTATGTGATTTATAAATTTTTGATATATAACTGAAACTTCAAACTTATAACACAGTATATGTAGTATATGCAGTTCAATTAATATCAGTGCAATTTCTGTTATAAATAATATCTAAAAAAACTACTTTAACTAATATTCAGAAGTATGACTTTTGTCTATATGCTCATAATAATATTTTGACTTACGTTCAATATATAGATTGGATTAAACTAAATGGAGAGTTAGAGTTGACAAATTTACAATTACACAAATTTTGCAAATAAAGGATAAAAGAATTACTACAGAAGTTACAAATCTGAAAGTAAATGCCATAAACCTGTTGTTTTTCTAGAGCTTGAATTTGCTCTTAAAGAATTTGTATTACTTTATCAAAACAAAACTATCTTAATTGATACTTTATTAATTAAAAAGGTTAAATTATTAGTTGACGAACTGGAAATATCTCAAGAAATATTACAGATTAGTTTTTTAATTTTATAAATTTTCTTTAATTTTATTTTAAAAATATTTAATATTTATTTAATTTAATTAATTAATTTTTTAATATTTTAGTTTTCTTTCAGTTGGCTTTAAAAATTTAAGGATTGTAATGGTATTCATCAAATAAAGCTTTAAGAAGAAGCAGGTTCTGCTGATGAAAATGCTATTACTGAATTCTTACCATTATTAAAAAGTAAATATACTGAATTTTTTTCTGAACAAATTTATAATATGAATGAAATTAGACTTTTTTATTGGTATTTTTTTAAAAATTTTTTGTATATTTTTATATGAATGCTAATAATATATTTATATATTTATAGTATTTTATTTTTTAGTTTAGAATTAGATAAAATATTAGTAACATGATGACTTTCTGGATGCAAAAAAATAAAGAACAGTTTTCAATTGCTTTGTGTACAATTTTAATAGATCACACAAGCTAATGCCTTTAGTAATTGGTAAATTTTCAAAATCAAGATACTTTAAAAATATTAATCTTAATAATTTACCAATGATCTATCAAAATAATTCTAAAGCTTAGATATTGTTAACACTTTTTCAAGAATGGCTTCAGGAATTTGATAATATAGTTGGTCAAAAACATGGAGGACAACGTATTCTATTATTAATTGATAACTATTCAAATCATAAGTTAGAAAATTTAACTCTTTTTTATGTTAATATTTATTTTTTACTTTCTAATATAACTTCAAAACTTCAACTAATAGATGCTGAGATAATTATGGCTTTTAAAAACATTATAGATGTTATCATATTAGATAATTCTATTCTTAATTTTATTATTTTTTTTTCTATATATATAATACAAACCTTTTAATTTTAGGTGGATGTTAGAACTAGTTAAAGCTAGTAAGCTTGTACAAGATTTGTAAATGAATGTCTTGCAAGCTATTCAATTTATCATTTAAAGTTAGAATGAAATTACAGCTAAAAATATTCAACATTATTGAAATCATACAAAAATTCTTTCTAATAATGTTTTCCAGATGAAAATTATGAAGATAATTTAATGCTAGATAATAAACTAACTAATGCAATTAAAATTCTTAATCTTCCTAATAGGATGCAATTAAAAGAATTTTTAACCATTCCTGAAGAAGATATAATTTGTGGAATTTCTAATCTTTCAGAAATTACAGATTTATTTAGAAAAAAACCAAACAAAAATGATCTGGATGAAATGGATGATAGTGTTAAAACAGAATCCATTTGTATTAATAAAGCATTGCAAAGTTTAAAAACTGTGATATGTTTTTACTTCAACATGAAAATGCAAGTAAACAAATAAGATTGATGGGTAAAATTGAAAAATTTATGAAAAAAGAAAAAATTAATTCAATGCAACAAACTACTATAAATCAATTTTTTAGCTAATTTTTATAATCATAATTTTAGTTTTATAATTTTTTTTTAATTCTTAATAAATATAATATTATAAATATAAATATAAATCACGTGATTTTCATTATTCTATAAATGCACTCCCTCTCTAAATGCACCCTTATATTCAATCCTAAGGGGGTGCATTTATAGAGAGTTGACTGTATTGGTTTTTTTATAAACTATGCGACAATAAACTAAAAAATGTAACGATTGTTAAAGTGAAGGGAACTAATGAAATTATTGGAGGATATAATCCTAAGATATAGGAATCAAGCGATGACAAATGGTCATCAACTGATGAAAGCTTTATATTTTCATTTACATCTACGAACTTAAAGGTGTTGTTATAAGTGGAGTAAAAAGTTTACGATCATGCAACTGCATCTCTTGGCGAACATGGTCCATGTTTTGGTAACAGTGATTTTGTAATCATTTTCAATGAATACGGTCGTCGGATGTTGGCATAATAAAGATTATGACAAAATATATAATATCCATAGAAGGAGAATTCGATATAGAAGAGCATGAGATGTTTCAAATTTTAAAAGGGCAACAAATTGATGAAATGCAACTAATCAAATAACAAAACTATACTGAATTTATGCAGGAAGTGATAATATTGACATTTATGCCAGAAAGAATTGAAATGTCTGATTTTCTGAAATCTTTAATTAGTCGGCAATTGTTAACGACAAAATCATACTTGGTCTCGCGACGCGACAATATCAATGCAATCAATGTATTTATGACTTCTTGACGACGCATTTGAATTTATTGGATCATTAAATATTTATACTTGGTTAGTATAATGAATATCCTGCTTATTATGAATTTTTTAAAGATTTTAAACTCGAAAGTGTTTTGTAATGTGACGCAATTGACGTTATATGCAGCCACATCTGAAATCATAGTCCCAAGCTTTATTTTTTTTTTCTCGATTGGGAATTTAAAATAGTGACCGGTCATATGCCTACGGAAACTGATTAAATGAGATAATTTAATTAGATAAATTGTTTGTACATTTTAGAAAATGGCCGTCACAAAAAGTACTTTTTGTCATACATGATCACAAAGCGGCTCATCTTTTTTCGATAAAATGTCACATTTCACGTGATTTATCTTAATTCAATATTTCTTTATAAAGATCTTCCGTTTCGTAATTTTTTTTCGTTTATAATTATCTCTTTAAAATGTCCAACCTTTATAAAGATATAATTTCCTCGATTTTTGAAGAATTACAGGATAATTCAAGGTCTCTTTTTTCATGCATGTTAGTTAATAGACTTTGGTGTGAGACTGTGGTTCCGGTCTTATGGAGGGATCCTTGGTGCTATAAAGATGATATAAATTATCAAAACAAAAACTTTCTATACTACATAATCACGTCCTCTTTGCCCAATGATATTAAGGAATTTCTAAAGAGCCAAGGAGTGCGATTGCCTTCAACTACTCATCGATCACTTTTATTCGATTATCTATCCTTCTGCACTAGCATCAATACAAAAATTTTAAACGGTATAATTTCTATCGGTAGTTCATCTGCTTTTAAACAATATCTTTTGCAACAAGAAATTTACTGTCACATCTTAAGAAAGTGTCCAGAGCTAAAGTACTTTGATATGAGTTCGATTGAATGTCAAATTTTTTATTTTCCAGAAGCAAAAGCTCGTCTCGTTACTCTTTGTGAATTAAAATGTAATACATCCATTGATCCCACGTGCTTTTATGGATTAGCACGTATCTGTCAATCCATACAAAGGCTCACCATTATCAATAATGACGTAAAAGCTAATCATGGAATTGTTAAATTGATTGAGGTTCAGAAGAATTTAAAATATTTTGAATGGAATGATGATTTTAATGTTAACCCTAACTTTAATGAAAATAGCTATAGGGAGATCTTTCAAGAATTGGACAAAAAATCCGATACTCTTTGTCATTTCATAACAAGATTTCATGATACCGTAGAGTATTTTTTGCCTCTACCAATAAATCTATCAAAATTTCATAATTTAAGGACATTAAAGATTGATGAAGCTTTCATATTTGAACCTAAATTTGAAAAGAATGGTTTTCAAAAACTTGAAAACTTGCAAATGAACTATATTGACATCAACATAATCACTCGTATGATTAAAAACAGCGGTGGGAATCTCAGGAAGATTTTAATGAATGATTTCAACTCTAATAATTATTATGAAGAAACTCTCGTACTTATTCGTACCATTTATGAAAATTGTCCTTTGGTTGAATGTTTATCACTTTATTTTACATCATCAGGAGATCATTTGGTTGAATTTGAAAATTTACTAAAAGCTTGTCCAAAATTGAAAGTATTATTATTAGAGGTTCATGAATATGTAAATGACATAAATAAAGATGAAGACAAGCCATATGAAGAAGAGAGGTACGCGAGCAGCGAGAAATTATCAAATGTGTTACTTCGGGCTGCATCAATCAATCTGAGAGAAATTGGATTCTTTCATTATCCTAAATTTTCACCCAAAATTCTAGGGGAGTTTCTAGAGAAGTGGAGAGGTCGACCTGCAATTTCCATTCTTACATATGACTATGAATATGATTATGAAAAAGAAGAATATATGAATATATTTAATAAATACAAAGAAGATGGTGTGATCGAAGTCTTTAAGCATATTTCTAGAAGGGAAGTTACATTTTAATTTTCTTTTTTAAAAAAAAAAAAAGTAAGTTAAGATAGAATTATCTAGTGTGGAGAGAAAAAAAAGTAACCAATAAACTACAATTTCTTCTTACGTATCCGGATCTAGTGCAAACCCGACCCAGAAGTTATAAGTTTAGAAATTTTCCGGGTTCAAAGTACCAGCCCGGATTTTTTATAATTCTGGCAAAAATTACAATTAAAATTGAGCCGCATATTATAATGTTGTTGCCGACCGACCATTTCTAATATCGCGTTACATTATTGAAATAATTAATTAATTTTTTTTTTTTAAAAAAAAAAAGAAACAAATTTAATCAAAAAAAGATTTAAATGTAAAGTAAAAAAGCAGAAAAGGTGAAATTTAGGCTGTATTTTAATGCAATAGGAAGGAAAGTATTTTAGATTCTCATGTCATGGAAAACAAATAAAATGATTTTTTTTTTAAAAATAAAAAAATGAACCGTCGTCACAGACTCTGCCAATTGTTGCTGTAAACCAATCTTGATGAAATTTTAAACAGCTATTAAGTAATGTTATCGTCCTTTAAGTTGCTGAACAGTATGATATTTCGGTTATAGACTAAATATGGAATTTAGTTTCGGCAGATAAAATAATGATCGGTATATTGAGAAAGATGAAAAATTTTTTAATTAAAAAAAAGTCAAAAATAATTTCGTAAAAAATTTGAGAGGGTAAACTTTCAGGATTATGAAAAATTTATTTATCTCAATTTTCTCTGAAAATTTCATCTGCCGTGGAAAGGATTAGAAGTCGTTGCTAAGTTTAGGGAAGTTGGTATCATATGGGAGTCTAATTTTCAATTTAAGGAATGTTTCTCCTATTAGCATGGGAATATTAACTTGCCGAATAATTTGTTCGTTATAAAACGTTCACGTGGTTAACTAGCCCCTTGTTAAATAAGTAATACACAAATTATTTTTTTCCAATTTAGGTAATTTAGGTCACTTAAAATAAAATATATTAAAAAAAAAAAAAAAAAATTAATAAATACTTCCTTATCTTGAAATTACAAAAAAAAAAAAAAAAAAAAAAAAAAAAAATGTTCAAACTTAATAAAGATGTTCTTTTCTTAATTTTTGAGGAATTACAAGATGAATCAAGGCCGCTCTACTCGTCCCTACTTGTTAACAAATTTTGGCTTGAAACGGTCATTCCAGTTTTATGGAAGAATCCTTGGCGTTATGTAGATTTTAAATCTCAAAGCAAAATTTCTTTATACAACATACTTACCTCTTTTTTATCCAAAGATACTAAGGGGTTTCTAACAAGTCAAGGCATAAAATTACCATCAATGTCAAATAAAGCATTTTTATTTGATTATCTTTCCTTCTGCAGGAGTTTTAATGTTGAAGTTGTAAACAATATACTCTCAATTGGTTCTTCATCGGCTTATAAACAATTCCTTTTGCAACAAGAAATTTACAGTCTCTTCATGAAGAAATGTCCACAGTTAAAACATTTAGATATTATATCTCTTAAACATCAATTGTTTTACTTTCCAGAAGCAAAGATACGCTTAGAAGCACTATGCGAACTAACTTGTGAAACAGCTACCGATGATTCATACTTTTATGGATTGGCGCGCATCTGTCAAAATATACAAAGACTTGTTATTCTCAACACGAGCTTAGAAGGTAATCATGGAATTCTTGTCCTAATAGAAGTTCAAAAGAATTTAAAATATTTTGAGTGGAAGGACAATTTAAGTTTTGATTACTACATCCAACAATTTAGTTACAAAGACAATTTTATGGCATTAAAGAAGAAGGCTGATACTCTCATTTATTTTGCGGCAAGCTTTTATGATTTTCCTAATAATAATTATTATGATGACAACACAACGTTTCCTCCAGAGTTACTTCCAGAACTTTATAACTTAAAGACATTAAAATTCAATACCCCTTTTTTTAGAAAATTCGTATACGAAGTTCAATTGAAAATGGCATTCTATAGTAACCTTGAAATTCTTCAATTAGATTATTCTTTCGGTACAATCACTAGCATCATTAAAAATAGCGGTGGGAAACTCAGGAAAATTCTAACCAGTAAGCAAGCACTCTATGACGAGAATTTTTATGATGATTCCCTTAATTTCATTAGTGCAGTCTACAAACACTGTCCCTTAGTTGAATGTTTATCACTCGGATTCCCTTCATCTGTGGAACATTTCTTGGAATTCGAAAAATTACTAAAGGCTTGTCCAAAGTTGAAAGTGTTAATATTAGAAATTGAAAGTACAATTTATTTGCTTGAAGGTTTAAGTACAAAATACTGGATGTTGCCAGGAGAAAGGGAATTTATAGATGAAAAGTCACATGAAAAAGGGAGGTTGACGTCGGGAGAAAAACTATCAAATGCATTAATTAGGTCCGCGCCAATTACTCTAAGGGAGTTAAGATTTTATTCTAGTTTTAAATTTTCGTTGATAACCCTGGAAGAATTTTTAGAAAATTGGAGGGGTCGACCTGCGCTTACCATTTATACTTTAGATCGTGTTTATGAAACAGGAAATTATGTAAAATTAATTGAAAAATACACGAATGAAGGTGTGATTGAAGACTTTATTAATGGTTCTGTACCTGTAGGATATATATAGATTATATATTGGATTGGGATTTTCACTCTGAGGATTAACATTTTATTGACGTTATATTAATTAACTTGTATAACATAATAATGTTTTATATCAATATAATTTAAT